TTGTAGTCTACCATATGGTCCATAATTCGGCAAAAACGTTTAGATACATATATTTTACTTATTTGGTTTCTTTTGGGAAATAGGAATGCATCGATACCGGTTTTACGGTATTGAGTACGAGTACCGATATATTTTTTTCAGTACTCGTCGATACCAAATACCGTTCTCCGAAGTCCTATTCAGGAAGTCGGGCGGCATGTAATGACTCACCGCCCGGCTTCCTGATTAGCCGGGAAGCCGTCTCCATGCTTCCTCATCACCAGGTGACGAGAAAGCATGGAGCCGGCTTTCTGGCCAATCAAGAGCCTGGGGGGTGGGTATCAGGAAGCCGGCATCAAGTCTTTACAATTCGCCCGGCTTCCTGATTGGCCGGGAAGCCGACTCCATGCTCCTCGTCAGCGGGGGCAATGACTCGCTGCCCGGCTTCCTGATACCCACCCCCCAGGCTCTTGATTGGCCAGAAAGCCGGCTCCATGCTTTCTCGTCACCTGGTGATGAGGAAGCATGGAGACGGCTTCCCGGCCAATCAGGAAGCCGGGCAGTGTGTAATGACTCGCCACCCCCAACTTCCTGATACTTGAAGTTCCGGTATCGGGATAGGCATCTGTAGCATTTGGGTGAGTACAAGTACTCGCTCAAATACTTTGTATCGGCATTGATACCGATACTAGTATCGGTATTGGTGCATCCCTATTGGGAACAATACACCCATCCCTCCAGCCCTGGGAGCCGCTAGCGCTCCGGGTTGTGAGCTGCTGGACCCGCATTGTACATTGAGATAAAGTAAAACTGCCCTTTAATGATAACCTAGACCAGGGGTGGGCAACCTGGGCACTTCAGCTGTTTTGAAACTGCATGTCCCAAGCCTCTGACAGACACAGGCATGGCTCCCAGAGACAAGGAGCATGATGGAATTTGTATCTCCACAGCTGGACTGCCGAGGTTGCCCATCACTGCCCTAGGCAGAAACAAGTATTTAACCCTTGCAGTGCAGGGGGAGCTCCACTACAAGGGTAGTTTTGGAAACTGGGACTGTTGTGTAGGGCTGAATGCTGGGGGAAGGGAACAAATTTGGATAGGACCAGCAGGTGGTCCTAACAATCAATGACTGCAGAGGAGGTGGACATTTGAGGTCACTGGTTGCTAGGATGCCAGCGACCCTAGCAACCAATGACTGCAGAGGAGGGGGGTGTTGGAAATGCAACAGCATATACTGATAATTTGTCTTTTGAGCTGTAGATGGCGCTGTAGTGCAATGTTAGTTTTCTATATGCATGCTTATCTATGATACAGATGAACTTTTCCTATATATATGTTTACTGCATAATGCTGCATTCTGATATGATGTCCTGCTAAGCAAGTAAAACTTAATTCGGCATTCCACAAGATCTCAGTGCTTCATCTAAACACATAACCAACAGTGGACGCCTGACGTCACTGGTTGTTGGGACGCAAGTGGCCCTAGCAACCAATGACTGCAGAGGAGGTGGACACTTGATGTCACTGTTTTCTAGGACGCCAGCGGCCCTAGCCACCAGTGACTGCAGAGGAGGTGGACACCTGACGTCATTGGTTGGTAGGATGGCAGAAGTCCTAGCAACCAATGACATTAGAGGACGTGGACACCTGACGTCATTGGTTGGGAGGACGTCAGAGGTCCTAGCAACCAACAACTGAAACGGAAGGGATATTGGCTTGGCTATAGCATGCAGTGGATGTAACAGCCATGGAGGCCGGTGCATCTTCTGTCAGCCAGCTGTAACTGAGCGCCGGTCATCAATCAGTCCGTGTCTAGACAGCAGGCCAGATAGGGGCAGCCTGTTGGCTGTAAAATGACCATGTCTCACCTAGGGTAACTACCTTTAATTAATTTTCCCTACCCCCCGATAGTGTGTAGCGATATTGATATATGTGTTTTGGGCCTATACGGAGCTATGCAGCCTTTGCAAAAAAAACCCTCTGTCCAGCTCCTTTTAATATTGTGCATGCACGCCATGGTCCCTTTCATTCATACAAGTAAGCCATAATCATGGCGACCTCCGGGGCTTCTGCAGTATATGGCGGTCCCATAAGAATCAATGGGAACATGGCATGCATGAGCAGGAGAAAAGCTGGCAGGAGGTTGTTGGGCTTTGTGATGCTGATCAAGGCCTCACAACAAACATCACTGGATTGGGGCTGAAGGTAAATACACAATATTACCAAAAGCATTGGGACGCCGGCCTTTACACACACATGAACTTTAATGGCATCCCAGTCTTAATCTGTAGGGTTAAATATTGAGTTGGCCCAGTCTTTGCCGCTATAACCGCTTCAACTCTTCTGGGAAGGCCGTCCACAAGGTTTAGGAGTGTGTCTATGGGAATGTTGGACCAGGTATTGATGTTGGAGGAGAAGGCCGGGTTCACAGTCTCCGCTCTAATTCATCCCAAAGGTGTTCTATCGGTTTGAGATCAGGACTTTGTGCGGCCATTCAAGTTCCTCCACCCCAAACTCGCTCATCCATGTCTTTATGGACCTTGATTTGTGCACATGTTGGAACAGGAAGGGGCCATCCTCAAACTATTCCCGCAAAGTTGGGAGCATGTAATTGTCTTGGTAAGCTGATGCCTTAAGAGTTCCCTACACTGGAACTAAGGGGCCAAGCCCAACCCCTGAAAAGCAGCCCCACACCATAATCCCCCCTCCACCAAACTTTACACTTGGCACAATGCAGTCAGGCAAGTACCGTTCTCCTGGCAACCGCCAAACCCAGACAGGTCCATCGGATTACCAGACAGAGAAGCGTGATTGGTCACTCCAGAGAAGACATCTCCACTTCTCTAGAGTCCAGTGGCGGCATGCTTTACACCACTGCATCCAATGCTTTGCATTGCATTTGGTGATGTAAGGCTTTGGTGCAGCTGCTCAGCCATGGAAACCCATTCCATGAAGCTCTCTATGCACTGCTGTTGTGCCAATCTGAAGGCCACATGAAGTTTGGAGGTCTGTAGCTATTGACTCTGCAGTTGGCGACTTCTGCGCACTGTGCGCTTCAGTATGCGCTGACCCCGCTCTGTCATTTTACGTGGCCTACCACTTCGTGGCTGAGTTGCTGTTGTTCCCAGTTGCTTCCACTTTGATATAATACCACTAACAGGTGACCGTGGAATATTTAGTAGCAAATACATTTAACTGAACACCTGAATCCAAAGACTTGGGGTGTCCCAATACTTTTGGCAATATAGTGTATGTTACTAAGTGGGTTGCACTCAGGGGCCTGAAAATAATTAATTAAAGTGCAAAGGGGACATCAGGACTTGTGAAGACGGGTGTTGTTCACCTTCAAATGCACGTCAGAAACAACACACGTCTGTAAAATGTGACCGAAATTTTGTGTTCAGCTACAAGGCCCGACATGCAATACCAGCTGTGCTGGTATTGCATGATAAGTCAGAACTTATCACGCCTTTGTTACCAGGAAACAATAGAGGGGAAGGAAGGCAGTAATGGAGGGAGACACTTCTTTATTTGTATGGAGGTGTAAAGGAGCAATAGTGGAGGTAGGATGTAAAACTGGAGGTAGAGGATGGGGGGATCGGCAGATTAAACACAGCTGCAAACATTTTACTCTCATTTCAAGGAACATGTTATTTAGTCCAACTAAACACATCATAACCCTGATTTTAAGGGCCTCTCCAAACTATATGGCCCCATGCACACGGGCGCATATGGGGGCATACAATGTTAATTCTACCTTTTCGATTATCTCAGAGACGGGACGGAGAGCTCGCTCTCACAGAAATTATAGATTCCACCTCCAGTCTGTCCGAAGAAACAATTTTGTTAATAGTTAAGGTTCCTGAATTTATTTAGTTCAGGCACTTGAATGCAATTTTATAATTTAACTTCTGAGTTTAGTGTCAGTTTACCTAAATCCCAACATGCCTCTGGTAGTCATGCCGGATCTTGTTCTGTCGAAATCTCTGACCCGTTGAGATCTCCTACTGGTGACGTCACATCCTGTGACTTGCCAGTAGCCGATTTAAACCATATGGCGCTAGTGTGTGCGCGCCAGTGGTGCCAGTGTTAGAATCCTTATCCAGTTATCAAGCTCCCGTCACTGCGCCTATAAGTCTTCGCTATCCCCATCAAGTTCTCTGACCCCCGTCAGTACGTCTGAAAGCGTGGCCACCCGATGGCAAAACGTGTAATCTCTTAACATGCTGTGCCGTTGGATGGGTGCGCGGGTGCACTAACGATATTTGAAGGACTTGATTCTGCCATTCGGTGACCACGTAGGCGCACTGATGGGGGTTGGAGAATATGATGGGGATTGTTAAGCCGCGCAGGCACATTGCCATTGAGTTTGATAACTCAAGGATTCTGACAGTGGTCTGGCTGGGGCACGCGTGCCAGCCCAATCTGCTTGAAATCTCCCACTGGCAATTACTGGCAAGTCACCAGAGGTGACGTCACCAGTCTGAGATCTTGACGGGTCAGAGCCTTCAACAGAAGACCTGTAACTGTCAGTCTTGCTATGCCTCATGGGACTTGTAGTCCCACAACAGCTGGAGGGCTGGAGTTGCCCACCCCTGGGCTAGGGGGTACCGTTTACCAATTGTTTGTAATTGCATAAATAAACTTTTGATAATTGCCGTGCCGCGGCTTGTTTTCGAAATGCTTCGTCTCTTTCGTGGCTTTATAAAATATAAATGAATAGTGAGCTCTCATGAGCAGGGTCCTGCTAATTCTTTTGTATTGCATTGTCATTGTACTTTCTCCCCATTTGTTATAAAGTGCTGCACAAACTGTTGGTGCTATATAAATCCTGCATAATAATAATAATAGTACGGGTGCGGTGCAAAATGTAACGCTTGTCTGCAGGAACCCTACAGACAAGAAAGTGTGAGGGGGATGGGAGAAGTCTAGAAGTACAGTGTAAGAATGTAACCAGGAAGACTTTGTCAAGCTGAATAAAGTTGTTGAGAAAAAAAAAGGGCAGCCTCAGCAGCAGCAGTGTGTTCCTGTGTCCTAATAAAGGATCTTAGTTGACTTTAACTCCTGCGGTGCTGAGTGCTTCTCCCTGCAGAAAGCCTGGAGGTAAATCAGACAAAGACAGCAGACATGGTTGCAGCTTCTTATTGTTTTGTCCTTGTCCTGGGGAAGGATACATTGTATGATTTCATGTGTGCATTGCCTGCCTGCTTGGGAGTGGTGGACATTGTATCCAGCCATAGACCATACAGTGTCATTATGTAGCAGGCATTGGAGGAATCTGACATGTTTGTATTCTCATGCTGGGGACATGGGGAGGCTTGCTTCCATCAGATGATGGCTGATTGCGGAAGTCGGTGCCTTGCTTCCATCTTCGCTTCTTCTTAACCCTAAAAGTGCGGAAAATGATTTGTTGACATCACCGTCATTTTTTAAAATTTAATTTGCATGGACCATATACAGTAAGCGCTGTCAAAAAAAGCAGAAGAGACCGCATTCGCCGTTTCTGTGAGCGTTTGCCGAAAACCGGTCGCAGCTGCTGGTTTTTATTTCGTGGTGGTTTTTTTTGTTTTTTTTAATGGTTGTTTCTTTAAATGAGTAACAATCAAAGCTCTGTTAAATAAAGCTTGATTATAAAGGGATGATTGTGAGTGAAGCGCCAGTGTT